CCCCCCCCCCCCCCGGAAGTCATGCCCGAGTTTGGACCCTGCTTTCCTTCGGCCTTCATTGTCAGAGAGGCCATTCCTGCCGCGCTGGCAGGCACAGATGATTCATAGTGCATGCTCTGCCTCCTCAGCCAAGGACATCTCCCTCTCATCACCAAGCGCTCGGCTAGCGCAAAACTGTGTCACGCTCTGTGAGCGGTGATGGTGGCTAAGGCAGCTGTATCCATTGTACCGTACTGCATGTGCATTCCATTTTGTTGTGCGAGGTCGACACGACGAACCGTCCGCATGGGACCTTTGATTGTGCCGATACGGCCCATCTTTTCTACACGTACCCGACATTGCCGATGACTCTGGCATCAGGTCTGCTTTCGACCGAATCCGAACGTCTTGCTGATCGTTCGAGTCGTGATGCTAGGTTTCCGCGAGGGCGGCAGTGCATCTCCCGCTGCGGCCCCGCCCTCCGACGGCGAGCCTGCTGGCATCTGCTGCATCGAGTTGCGCTTCGACTGAGCCGCGGACGAGGTCGACGAGCTCGACGAGAAGAGATTCGACAGCATCCCTTCCTTCTTCTCCGTTCCAGGCGACATTGGCGTGTAGCCCGAGGATGCCCTTCGCGCATTCCTTGTCTTGGCGTCTTTCTTCGATAGCAGTCTCTCCAGCGGTGCAAAGGAAGGCCCCGACGGTCCTTCCCGCTGCGATGCGATGGGGAACGTCGAAGCAGGACTGGCTCCCGAATCAATGGCAGAAGGTGTTACCACTGTGTGTGCCGCGTGCCCAGCGTGTGCAGCCTCCTCGGGATCCGCGACCAAGCCGCCGCCCAGCATAGGCTGACCATGCGACAGCAAAGGGCCTGTCGTGCCCCAAGCAGCCTCGGAGAGCACCCCTGGGGATGGGAAGCCCTCCGAAGCAGCTCGGGCCCTACGATTCATGATGCCCCGCATCAGATTCTGCTCTCTCGCCTCGCGATTCGCGGCGGCATCCGCCTGGTTCCCGATCATCCGGCTGTACTTTGACTCGCTGGGCGACTCGGTCGTGCCTCGACTTGACAAGACTTCAGAGGCAGGCGTCGTCGTCATTGCACCATGACGCGCAGGCGAAGCATCAGCCTCGCCATCAGCGGCTTGTGAGCCAGGCAGAATCGCAGATCCAGTAAGTTCCGTCGACGGCGTGATGGAAGCAGATGCAGTCGTGATGCCTCGAGGAACGCCCTCGTTGGCGCTCGTCGAGTGAGTCGAGATCGAGGCATTGTCAGGCGTCGTTCCCTCAACGTCTCCCAGACCGAGCTTGGTCGGATCCGCTGAAGCTGCGGATGCAAGCACCACGGTCGCTCCGGCCGGTAGCGGGTCGACGGACGAGGTCGTCTTTGGCCTCCTCTTTGACTGGCTGCCTGCGCGTTTATCGCGGTTGCGGAACGAGCCGAACCAGCCATTGGCGCCTTGACCGGCTTCGGCGCCTCCCGAGCCACCCGCACCTCCAGCGACAAGGGGACTTCCCTCTGTCACCGAGTCGAGTCGCGATCGATTCGGCAGCGCTGCGCCGCCCGCCCTCTCGGGCGAAGGGACATGCTGGCGCGCATCGATCGGCTCCGTGGTCGTTGAGCCGGCCCGACCCCGGCCGTTCGTGCGTCCATTCGTGGCCATCTTCTGCTGGATCGTAGCCTGGATGGCTGGATCGACGAGGCCAAGTCCATCAAAGTCGAGGTCCACTGCCTGGTAAAACAGCACGTAAGCACTGCCAAGGCCGGGTCGGTCTCCGTAGTATTTGGCGATCTCAGCTTCGTCGATGTACGTCACCACATCATCGTCAAATTGCACCCAGCGATCGCCAACCTTGACGACGGCGATGTAGTGGCCGTGGTGAGGTCCAGCTCCAATATGGACGACGATGGCGCAAAGCTCGTAGAGGCGGTCGGGGTCCTCTGCGTCGTCCGAGGTGTTGAAAAGCCTCAGTTCGAGCGGAAAGACGACGCGGTAGGCCAGCTTGACGTAGCGCTGGACGGTCTCTTCGTACTTGAAGCGCTTTAGGTGAAGCGCAAGTAAGTTGGGCAATTTCTTGATCTTCATGCGCTTTTCCGCCTCTTGGAGTCCCGAGCAGGAGTCGCAGAAGAACTTGTTTCGCGACCGGAGCATCTCGGACGCGGAGAACTGGCGCAGGCACGAAGTCACGGAGGAGTTCTGCTCGATGTCGATCGAGAGGTCGAGGAAGCACTCGTCGCGCGAAGTGATGGTCTCGCACGTGAGGCATCGGGTCTCGTTGGTCAGAACGCCTTCAAAGAGCCGATGCACGCATGTCTTTCCGCTCGGCCCCACCTCCATGACGTTCTTTCTGCGATGCGCATCGACAGTCTTGTCCGACTCGGATCTGGCGTTGAGGTAGGGATTGCGACTCTGCATCTTGACCCGGGTTCGCGCCTTGTCGGCGTCGATCAGGTCCTCGCCGACTTTGTTGAGCACAAAGTTGAGCATTTCGTGCGCGTCCTGGTGCATCGTGCTGTCGAAGAGCACGTTTTCGCGTTTGAGGGTGCCCAGGAACGCCTTGACCGCGTTGGAATCCACTGCAGGGAAGCCCAAGGCTAGCGTGCCCGTTGAGCTTGTAGATACGGAAAGAGTAGGAGGAGCTGCGCCGGCGGACGAGCTGGCCGCGATGGGAATCGCTTGGGCGGCGGCGGCAGCTGTGCTGCCGGCTTGGTTTGCTGCGATGTGGTTGCCCGCTCCACCCCTGCCAGCGATGCCACCTGCGGTCGAGGGACGACCGAGGATGGATGTCCTCCTTGCAACATTTGGTGGGTCTGCAGAGCCTAGAGACGGGGGAGAGGGTGTGATAGGGCTGGAGAGTGGCAAAGAGCCGGGTGCTGTGAGTCTCGTAGGCGACGAGAGCGACTTTTGGTGGCCAGATTGCTGGATGACCTCGAATAGATCACGGAGGGCAGCAAAGAGGGTGTCAGCTGGTGGAATCCCATCGGCGGGCTCGGATGTTGAGTTGAGAGGTGTTGGAGCTGCTGAGTCGACACTGTCATGATGGCTCCTTGGGTGATCCGGATCGGATTCGGAGCGGTCACGGTGAGCGACGTTGTAACTCAGGACCGAGTCGCGAAAGGGGCGGCAAAAGTAGAGCGATTGGAGCATCGAATTGACGTAGCAAGTGTTGCCAAAGTTTTCCATTCCGAGAAGATAGCCTCCACCTTCGGCGGCGTTGACCGGAATCTCGGAGGGCTTGCGAGATATGACGGAAGACTGGGTGGTTGCCGAGGAGGAAGGGATGTAGCTGGTGCTGTGGAAAGAGTTGGACGAGGGGATCATGCCTCCGAACAATGGCACGGCCGGCGCGGCTGGCTGTGCTGCGGCGAAGGGATTGGAGTTGAGTGGAGCACGCGCGGATGGCGGGCTCATGGCGGATGAGCCGGCCGAAGTTGGCGAGGCGACGCTGCCGCCGACGGAAGAGCCGGGCGTGCCGATGGGCAAGGCATGGCTCGCTGGGGATGCCGATGCTTGGTGTGAGCCTGGAGCGCTCGGTGCAGAGGTGGAGGACGGGGCGGAGGACTGATTGACGCCCAAAAGACCTTTCCAGCTGAAGGACATGATGACCGACGCACTTGCAGATGCAAGCTCGAAGTCGTAGAATGTATGACGAGAGCGCCGACCACCGGGACAGGTGAGGCTAGAGAGACTCGTACGAAACGGAAGCGGATCTTTCGATAGTTCGGGACTCTACCGACGCATCTTGTCCATGGGAGCGGAGAAAGTGTGGTGTCAGTGATTCGCAGGGCTTGCACCGCTGGGTTGAATGGCTAAATGGCCTTGGCCCGCGCGCAAGCAACACAAGCGAAGCAAAGACTCTACGGCCTCGCAGGTTTTGACGGAGCGACCTAGGACGCAAGTGGTTGTGGTTGCGTCTTGGGCGGAACGATGCTGATGGTGGTTGGACTGGCGACCTTGGGGGCGGGCGAGTCGGGATGACGGATCGGAGGCTCGATGGTTGTATGGGATGCGGTCGGGCAAGTCGAAGCGAGGCGAGGCGAGGCAAGGCAGGGCGAGGGGTGGGCCGTGTGGAGCAAGGAAAAAGGCCACTGCGGCGGGTGTGGTTGGGGCAAAGAACGGAAGCGAGAAGCCCAGAGAGAAGGCCGAGAGAGGGTTGGGGAAGCGCAGCCGAGCCAGCCAGGGACGCGAGGCCACGCCACGACGGCAGAGCGGCGCAAGGGAGCAGCAGCAGCAGCAGCAGCAGCAGCA